TTAAGTTTAATTTTTTAAAATAAAAAAATAATTAATATGAACAATAATTATTTCAAACTAACGGTATTATATTAAAGGAATGAAAAAATATTTTATAAGATTAAAGAATCAAACTAAAATCTCATATGAAATTAAAATTTTAAAAATATACTTTAATTTTTTAATTCATATATTTTATTTTTATCTTTTAAATTTTAAAATATCCAAGAGGAATAAATCTAGTTTTGGCAAATAGTTGCACATCATTATTGAACTGGGAAAGGTGTTCCCTTACACACCTCAAACCCACTAAAACGAAGGCATCAATGGAATCTCCCACGCGATAATTAACTTTTTCCCCAACTATGACTCTGTTCTCAGATTCTGGTAATATCCCTGAACAGCATGTGTAGTCGAAGATTCTGGACTGAAATCTCACCCAAAAAATGAAAAATAAACAAACAAGGCTTGCGGCCCAAGTTTAAAAATTGAAATATTATTGTGAATTTGCAGAAACATTTGAAGAGGTATCATTGCTGCCAAGACCCTTTCTACATCTGAGCCCCACCATCATTGCCTCTCAGTCAATCAATCTCCTTTCAATAGGAAATGACTTTTTTAGAGTTACTTTTTTAATTTTATTTATAAATTATTTTTAATATATTTTATTAGTATAAAAAAATTTAAAATTTATTAACCATGTTTTAAAATTTAATAAGTTTTTAACTTTATCCTATTAAATATAAATACTTTAATAATATATTTTTTTAAATATTTAATAGAGGATAAAAATAAAAATTCATAATAAAAATTTAATGATATAACTTATAAATAGGATTAATAAATTTTTTTTATTTTATAAATAAGACTAAAGGAGTAATTTCTCACATTTTATTTCTTTTTGATGGTTTGTTATGCTCCCCACATCATTTAGATTCCATCTCCCTTCCTTTCTCCGGATGACAAATTTAATCAAATTCAGTTTTCACACGTTCAAGAATCTAGTCCATCGATATTGTTAAAATTAATTAAACCTATCACCTTTTTAATTTCGTTTTTTTCTTAAAACCTAACCATAAAAAATCATGAGTTTAATAAGGCTCATTGGTCTTGAGTTTAAGGGTCCTAATTTTACTTGTAGTAATAATAGACAAGATGGAAATCAGTGACGAGCACAAGTTCAAATGGAGAGATTATTCCAAGAAACTAGCTTGTTGTGTAACATCCCAATTTAAATTTTAATAGTTAATTTGGGTTAATAAAAATTTTGAAAAGTATTATTAAATTATTATTATAAAAAAAAAGTATGCAAAAAAAATAAAAAATAAAAAAAATAATAATAATAAATAAAAAAATAAAATATTATTAAATTATTATTATTATAATAATAAAAAGAAAGAAAGGAAAAGAAAGGAAGAAGAAGAAGAAAATGAATTTGCTTCGTCCGCCGCCTCAACAGTAACAATAATAAAATAATAATAAAAAGAAAAGAAGAAGAAGAGAGAGAAAATAATTAAAAAAAAAGGTGGAACCCACTGAATTTTTATAAAAACTCACCTTCCTTCATTTCCTCATTCATTCTGCGCGCGAGCTGGGGCGGAGAGAAGCGAGTTGCCGGTGCGAAATATCTAAATTTTTAAGGTAAGAGTTTTTAATAGGATATTTAGGGTGTGATTTTAAGCTTTTCAAGACTAAGTAAGTGTTCTAAAAATTTTTCTTAGTCATCCTTCTTATTTAGTTTCTGAGTTTGTAGTGGTAGAAAATTTAAGATCTGGAAGAGGGATGAATTTATGTTGAATAAATATGATTTTTGAGGTTGTCAGTAGTATAATAAATGTTCTAGAGTATAAATTTATTGATGATCTTTGAATCTGTGGCTTATGGATCAAATTCTAAACTAGATCTGAAAATATATGTTGATTTATTGAGGTTTAGATGATTATTTGGGATGAGAAATGAATTATTATGGTTATAGGATTATGATTCTAAGCTAGAGACTCAATTTTTAATTTTTGGGTATTTTAGGTACGAATTTATAAAATAAAAAGAAAATTTTGATAATAGAAATTAGTTTAAAATTTGATTTTTAGATTATTAATGTTTATTGATAATTAAAAGAGGAGTTAAAAATTTTACTTAATAGTATTAACTATAGATTTGTATTAAGATTGAGATTAGGAATTATGTTATATTTTTAATTCTATTATTAGAATTATTTTATTAGTTTCAAAAATTAAAACTAATATTTATAAATAATATGTTATTTGTAGATTGTATTACTGGTGAAGATTGTGGAGAGAGAGAAATTTTAAGGAATAATTTATTGAAAAAGCCACAAGGTAACCATGCTTTTAATTTATGATTAGTGTTACTTCTTGTTAATTGGGTGATTATTGAGAAAATTATGAATTTTGTAATATTGTATAATTGTGCAATATTATTATGAATTTGTTTAATTATTGTGGGAGGTGTTGGGAGACTTGCTATTATTGTTGTATTTATGTGCCACGTGGTACGCCCCTATTGGAGCTCAATAGGTGGCTTGTAAGGGCTCGGACTAATCTACCTTTGGCCGGGTAATTTAGCACCGAGTGAGGGCTACGGCTCGAGGTTAATGGAGGGATATAAGGATGGTTGTTTGTGTGTATTGTATTATTTCTTATATTTATTGGAATTATATTATTTTTAATTCTCACTTAGTAAACACACACTTAACTGTTTGTATACACTATCATAAATTGGCTTTGGTTACTGGGACTTTTGAGTCTCATTATGTGGTTAACAATTTTCAGGAGAAGAGCCACGAGTGACACGTGGAGGAGTCCCTGAGGCTTAGTGGTATAAATCCACTGTCTCTTTTGGGTATTTAATTTATGATTTATAATGTGTTATATTGCCAATATTAGGACTTTTTTATGTTTATTGTTAATTATATGAATATATAAATGTAATCATGCCTTTCAAACTATTTCTATTTTTGGTACAATTTGGATGACTGTAATTTTAATATTTGGTTTACTTTGGATTGGTTAAAATGTCATGATTATAAGGCCAAATAACTGGCTTGTGTTGAAAATTGACTAAATTGCTTATTTTACTTGTTGGGAGTATAAGGATGGACAAATGTGATTTAGCCTAATGGCATGTAGGAGGTAAAAAAATTTATCTGAAATGTTATAGTGTGTGAGTTGAAGCCAATTATAAAATATTTTATATCGAAATTATTGATATAAAAATGTGTTGAGTAGCTGTAACCCAACTATGGTTGAGTTAAATTATTAAAAAAAAAAATTTTGGTGTGTTACATGTTGGGTGGAAAAGCTCATTGAATTTATAAACTCTATTCTACTTGTGAGGCTTTTCGATGTGAGATTTGTTACAATGCCGCCCGGTCAAGAGTCAATCTACTTGACAACTTCATTCTACGGCATTTCACTTAGCCTCTTGGCGGTCATAACCTTTCGTAGACAGCTCTTTTTTGTGACACTGATTTCTCAATAAAAACACTAATGTAACAAGCACAAGCTTAAAAAAAGAGCCCATCCCAAAAGACTAATATGTTGAGTGGGAGAGTCTCTTAAATTTATAAACCTCACTCCACTTATGAGACTCTCCAATGTAAGACTTGTTATAGGATCATGTGAGAAGGAAAGATTAGATAGGGGCCATTTCTGAGACTTCCCAATGTAAAACTCATTATAGGATCATGTGAGAAGGAAAGATCAAAAAACGTGCACGCATGCGCACACACAAAAACTAATTTTTTCTTTTAAAATTGTTAATAACCAAGTAAACATTGTCAAATTAGTTTGAATGTTAAAACATGCGCATTGCAAAATATACTAAATCAAAAGTCATAAAATTATATTTTTACATTTACTTATACATAATAATTCAACACCAACTTCTTTATCTATTGTGTTGTCGGATGATTTGGGGGATAAAGGCAAGTTTGTGGCTTGTGATTGAGTGCATTGGGATGAAGAGTAGAGTATGACTAGTGCTTCTTCAGTTCTTTTTATAAATAATTTCTATTAACCTCATCAATATCAATGTAAAAAAAGTATAAGGAATAAAAAGTGTAGAATTTTAAATATGTCCTTACATAACAAATACAAAATATGATGTCATGTTACTTTTTTTATAAAAGATAATTTTAAAAATATTTTTTTAATATTACTTAAAAAGGCACACTTTGATTTATAAATGAGATCAAACAAACTTTCTAATATATGGTGGTGGTGGTGAAAAGGGCCTCTTTTCTATTAATATATATATATATATATATATATTTTAAAGTTTGAAGGAAGTAATTAGTATTTAGCAATGTATAGAATATATATATATATATATATACACTCTCTTCATTAAAAAATATAAATTATTTTTTAAAGAGTTAGATATTAAAAAATATAAGGCATTTTTAATCTTTTGAAGTGTAATCATTACCTTTTTTTAAAGTATCCTTATTAATAATGATTTTATATTTATTGCAGAGTGTTTAATGAAGATAAATATTAAAAGATAAGATCAGTTAAAAAATAGATAACTAATTTATTGAGAGGTGAGATTTAATTTAAAATATCTTATATTTTAAAAAAAAGAGAATATATATATATATATATATATATATTTTGTGCAACCACGATGCAACCACACCACACCCTTGGTAGCTTCGATGTTCTTTCTCAAGCCTACTTGTCCTCTAAGTCTTCGGTTGCTTTTGTCCTGTTTGTTTGCACTATGCATATGAGGGAATACAGAATAACAAAAATAATATATAAAATCTACAACATCTAAACTTAAATCCATTATTTGCACATTGCCATACTTGTGGTGGTTTAATTTATTTTGCATTTTAAATTATTTGGTCTGATGATTCTAATAACGAATTTTATAATTGAATTTTGAATTTAGAGTTAAAAGTGAGTAATATTAAACTTTTTCTCATTTAAGTAAAAAGATAAATCAGCTTTTGTTCTTCTTTGCGTGCGTGTCTATATAATACTAAACGAAATTGCAGTCCGATATGACAATCTCGAAAACTCAATCTACTACCTTGCTTGATCGCTGTTGAAGCTTTGAGGAACCCCAAGTTTTATGTTTTATAGCTTCAATTGATTCCAATCGTCGCCCCGCTGACGCTGCAGAACGACGAGAGTCATTACGATATGAGTACCAGTGGGCGCATCATCAAGATCACTATCTATCATAATTCCTCACCATACGAGGTCTCTCTCCCTGCTGAATCTACTTTCGGTACGTTTTTTTTCTCTCTAGTTACGGTTCCCCTTGGGTTGCTTCTGCATTTGAAGTCATTATGTTATGACTGTAGACCAATCAAGTCCAGGCTAGTTATAACCAAGCTTGTTTATTAAAAAAAAAAAGGTGAGGGGATTGGCCTAAAAAAACCTACTGAGGCAAATTTCGAGCTCCGCAGACTTAATCAATCCAACAATGGCCGTCATTTTTAGTTCCTTCAACGGGCTGAGCCCGAAAGATATACTGATAATCATAAATGTAATTTATACTTATGTACAATTTTTCAAAAAATGTCTGCTAAAACAACTAAAATTATAAATTTGTACTGCATACATACAACCTAGATGCGTAAACTGTCATTTTTTTTTTATGATCCTTACTAAAATCTATATATAAATACTGAAAATATGGAAAAAAATTAGACTTTACTAACCAAGTTTTGAAATTAATGAGCCGGAGCATAAACTCAATTAAATAAGATTAATCTGTTGATCAAGCTCGTTTACTACACAGATGTGATAAGCCAAATTCACGAAGTTAACAGGGAAAAGCTGAATCTGATTAGTTCACCAGCAGTTTGGTTATTCTGTGTTTCTAGTTTAGGCGAATCCTAATGCAAGGTAGCAACGCATCTAAAATTGGACTCTTATGATTTGCTCATCAGGAAAGTTGTTGGAACTTCCAGGAGTTGGGACTGGATTTGTTTTTATGTGGTGAATGCATATCTTCTCATCATATATACATGTTGGTTAGTGGAATTAATATAATACTCCTTTCAATCTCTATTATAAGGCACCTCTAACTACCTTACCGAAACTAAAGAGAGGTGGATAAGTCTTTAACTTTTTTTGAAAATAGAATAAACTTTCAATTTTATCTCCATTTAAATGATAATTTTCAAATTTGCATTATATTCTCTCTCATAATTAATGAGTTCAAATGGGGGTAATATTGAAAAAGCATAATTAATATGCTATAAGTGTCTTGTATTAAGGACCAAAAAATGCTTTTATGAGGCGCTCTATAATAAGGACCAAAGTGAATAGTTAATATGGCACCAAGCAGTTTGGTAGGAGATGTTCATTGAACTATATGTCAATGTGAAAAAATCCATAACATATGTTTCAGAATGCTAATTTTGTATATTGAGTTGGAGAATATTTTATATTGTGAGAAAATGTTAGGACAAAGTTGACAGAATTGAAATTGATGAATTAGATGCAAAATACATAGAACGAAGCTTGAAAGTTCATGAATAAAGTAGTTGCTGAGAAATTTAGCCTGATTTATTTTCATAATATTTCCCCCTATCTAGAGCATACGTTTCACCCTGCAACATGATATTGACGATTTCTTTATCTAGAATCTATCTAGAAAACTAGGAACATTTGGTAGAAGAAGCTTGAGATATTGAATATATTGTCCTTTTCAGTGCATATTGGCCTTAATTGGATCTTCAATAACAGGGGATGTTAAGAGACTGCTTGCACACAATATGGGTTTAGAGCCTAAAGAGCAAATACTCATCTTCCGAGGAAAAGAAAAGCAGGATAGAGAGCATTTGCACTTGGAAGGTGTTAAGGACAATTCAGAGTTATTTCTTTTTGAGGACCCTGCTAGCAAAGGGAGGAAACTTGAGGAAACCAGGAAAGTGTTCGATATGTCAGGAGCTCTTGAAGCTGTTGCTGGAGTTAGAACGGTGGTGGATCAGCTCTCTGAGAGGGTGAGCCCTTGCTTCCTATATGACTGCTTGCTGAAGAAGCATATTAGGTTAGAATAATTAAAAACATGTCAGATAGAGAATGATCATTGGTCTCATTTCAAACTTGCAGATGGCTGCCATAGAGGTAGCTGTGAAATGGGGAACCGATGTTGCAGAGAATGAATTTCTTACCTTGTCTGAGTTGCTTATGAGGCAATTGCTGAAACTGGATTCTATTCAGGCTGAAGGTGAAGCAAGGCTGCAGAGAAAAGCTGAGGTAGTGTTTATGGTGTCTAGACTAATATGAAGTTGTAATGTTTTATTTGTTGTTCATGGCATTTTCATGCAATCCTTATTTTGACAAAGCATAAGTCATGAATCATGATTCATGACATCTGTTGATATTAGTGTTTCAATTATTAAAGCAGAATGCTGATTAGGTGAGAAAAAAATAAAGCAGAACGTGATTATATGATATGTATTCTATGAAGTAATTTCCACTATGATGCAACATACTTCTCGGTGTCTTTTAGATGAATTTTGATGATGCTGCAAATACGTTGCAACTAACACAACAACAACAACAATCCTTATTCTATTAGGTGGAGTTGGCTATTATACTTTATTATTAACCAAGCTTTTAGGAATGTTATTGACTAGTAAGTCTTGTTCAATAGCTTCCATAAGTGTTTTCTTTGATATTCTTTTACTGTTTTTTGGTCTCATTGCAAATAACAGTTGTTAAAAATTCTAATCATGGATAATCATTGCTTTTCCTTTCCTTTTCTTTTCTTTTCTTTTCCTGTTATTTTCTTGGGATGATTTGAATGCTTCACCCAAGTTCTTTCATTTTTTTTCTTTGTGATAGAATTGTTAACGTGGTTATTGAGGAATAACTTGGAGACATTTATTTATTTTTTGATAAAAGAAAGTTGAGGGGAGTTGGGTTTTAAGGACTTACCAGAGCCAGAACATGCCTCCAAGCTCAAAGAGTGCTTATAGATTTCCCACTAACAAGGTCCTCACATTAGTAGTGAGATTTGATCCCATGGCCTTGTGAGTTATAGTTCAAATCTTTACCAACTAGACTAACCTTTGTTAGTTTAGAGACATTTATTCTCACTCATATAGTTAGTAAGATTCATTTGAATTAGGATTTTTAAATTAATTAAAAATTATACGTCCCCCTTTCTTTCCTTGTTTTAGTTTTTGTTTGCTTCTTATTGCTGTGTTGTGAATTTTTTTTCAATGTTTTATCCATTCAAATGCTGTAGGAATATATTTATATATATTGTTTAGCTTAGATGCTTAATGAAGATTCACTTTTATGAAAATGCTATTGCTTTGGAAATGCTATTGCTAATGCTACTGCAATTCTCTCATATTAAGCTTTGGAAACATCTTCACATTTACCAAAGACTCAGCATTCTCTTTTGAGTTATTCACCAAGAACCACTCGCAGGAAGGGCATACAGAAAAGACAGATCTATTTATATCATATCAGTATTAGATAGTATTAGATTACTATTATTTAGGTTTGATACAGTAACAAAATTCATGCAATGGTCCTGAAAAATTTTTATTCTTTTGGGATGAAGCTTTATGAACTAATTGATCATTCATGATTTGCTTTTTTCATTTCTGGTAGTGCGGTTTTGGTTTTAAGTTCTTTGCAGGTTTAATCATTCTGTATCGCACTGACGAGTTAAAATGGTCCAGAGAATCAATTGTTTCTCTCTTGAGTTCAGTTAAGGATTCAAATTGGGCAATGATATGGATGTCAATGCAATGTCACTGCCTTATACTGCCTTCCTTAACTCTTTCAATCTTATATTCATCTTTTTGACCAAAGTTTTAATAAGGTTGGTAAGGTTTCTTTCAATACAATAGATCCACTTTTTCTTTCAGACTAACCACTGTAGGGTACTATACTATAATAAGGTTGGAGTTCTAATGTTTCTTTCAATATAATCATGTTCCACTGCTTTCTATCCAATTAAGTATTCCCTCTGGCCTCCATCTGCTCACCCCTCTTTTCCTAATAGATGCCAGTAAATAGATATCAAATTTGTCATAAGTTTTATAAGTTTTACGACATGTGTTGAGTGTCAAAATGCATGGACAGCCTGTAGGTTTCTTTTCTGGATAATTTATCGTCATTTTATTTATTTTATCCTGTATTTGTGGAATATGGGGATGCATTTTTTCTTAGAATTTTGTGAATAGATGTGAATTTGATATTCTTTTTCTGTGGTAAAATGCATTACCTTTCAAATACCGCTTCATAAAAGTGTAGTAGGTTCCTCTTTGAGGCTTTCATATGGCATCAAGATTGTACTCATTGGCTTCAAAAGCCTGAACGTTAGTTTTACCACCTTTCTTCAGGTATGTCGAGTGCAGAGCATTGTTGATAGATTGGATTCTCTGAAGGAGATGAACTCCAAGCCTTCTAGCAATAATGTCAATGCATTCCGAGACAGAAATGAGGGGACCATTGACTCTGGAATGGGAAGCATGAATGTCCCACCCCCAATGCCATCTTCAGGAGAATTAATTCAAGATTTGGAGCAGCTAACTTGTTCTGAGAATGGTGAATATGAACTTCGAAGTTTAGATGAGGCTAGGGATCCAAGCCTTAGTGAGGCTTTGGTCAGGAGAAGAGGGAAGCGCTTAGGTAAGTTGAGTAAGCCCAACATAGACCCGCACATTAACCATTACAGTCACATAGAAAGGGCTTAATATGCAAAGCGTGGATTAACTGGGCAACCCAAAATGTCAACGTGTGGATGCTGGTACTTGAAATAATACGAAATTTTAAACACAAGGAATTTTGATCGCTACAATTTTATTTTTTTGGCATTTAAAAGCCCAACATAGATCGCTCCTTGCATGTGACTCTCTCTGTCTCTGTGTGAATGTGTGTATTTGAACGTGTCTAGGCTGTATTTTCTCTTAAGTGGAGAAGAAGAGGCATCTCTATTCTTGTTTCCATGATTTCATTCTTGTGCTAAGGCATTTTTCTCTCACTTCAGACTTGGGTGCTCCAGTTCAGGAGGGGACTGAAATAGGGGCCACCTCTGGGGCTAATGAATTGGAACAAGATCCCTTGGATTGTGCTCAACCTGACTTTCATATCAACTCCTCTTACGCTACTGGAGGTATTCATGCTCTTATTATTAGTATTATTATAACATAAGAAGTAGACTTTGCCAACAGTTGAGATTATCTCCCTCGAGGTCTAGAAGGCAAACATTAGACCTATACTAACTAAATTGCTACATGCATAAGGATTGAGATTCAAACCCTCAACTACTTGCTTAAATAATGAGAGTCCTTATCACTCGTGCCAACTTTAGTTGGTTATTCATGCTCTTATTTTAAGATTCATGCTGAATTTTGCCTCTGCTAGCAATATACTTTTCTTATGTTTGTGCAGATGCCAGACCTCAAATTGAGGGAGATCTACAAGGGGAAGTGAGCCCTCAGATATCTCGACTCCCTGAAACACGGAATGACGAGACTCTGGCTAATGGTAGTTTTCTCTTTTCACGAATTCAATCACTTCCTGTCCGTGCCTCGACATCTGGAGACTCTTTAGAGGAAGACACTTACGTCAATGTTGGGGAGATCCTGCAGCTCATCTTACCTTCCCCTGCTGTTACAAGAGCTTCTGCAAATGTGTCCACAAACGTGGCAAAAAGTGTGGCTGTGTTGTGTGAACTAGACGATAAAGCCACCAAACTAATGGAGATAGCCTTCAACAAATATCCCAACCTAATGATCATTAGGTCTGATAGAAGGAAGACCTTTATCCGTTGGATGTTTTGCTCTTTATCCAATCTCCTTCAACTACTTTCAACTACATCTCCCAGCACGTTGGACGCGCCGAAAATGAGCGAGATTGAAGTTGTGCTTGGAGAGCTTGAGACTTTTGGCTTTGATGCTGGGTTCATTGATGAGATGCGCTTGCAGGTGAGTGAGGCTTGGGAGACTCAGTCAGCTATAGACAATGCCACTTCAGAGTTGAAGACACTGTGCGCAAAGGCAGAAGATCTTAACCAAGAGATTGCTAGCATGGAGCATGGTTTAGCAGCTGCCAAGGCTGAGGTTGCACAGGTTGAAAATAGAATAAGCACTTTGTGTGAATTGGTAGAAGAGAATCGCACTCCTATAGTTAAATGGATTGAATGAGATAAGGGATTGCTGGAAGGTGGGTATTTAGTTTCGTGCACATAGAGCCCACAAATATATCTTAACCTTAGTTATATAAAACGATATTTCGGATGTGTTAAGCCTAAACATTAAGTGTTGCATGAAATTCTTGTGTTAATTTGGCAAGCTTTATCAATTATTATGTTCCATTTTGGTCCATTGTTGATTAAATAAGAGAGATAATATTTTAAAATGTGAAATACATAAAGATATTATAAAATTTTAAAATAACTAAATAATAAATTATGTTTATAATAAATAAATCAAGGAAAATATTATAAAATTTAAAAATAATTAATGGTTCGTTCGGTAGGAGTGAAATGAAAGCAAGGAAGTGAAAGCGAAAGTGAAATTTTAAATTTAACATGTTTGGTGCGCTTGAGCTGGCTTCTTTGTGGAAGTCATTTTCATAAAAAATGATGCAACTTGCTTCCCTACCCAACCCGGAACTAGTTCCGCTTCTATCGTACCCTCAAGTTTGGCAATTTGGCCCAATCACTATCTCTCCTTGTTATTGATAGGGGACGATGATCGATAGTGGTGATTATTTTTGATTTTTGGTTTGATTTTCCCTTTGATTTCTGCTCGCAATTTTTATTTTGTTTGACTTTTGGTTCTAAGTAATGTCTAACAAAATCCCCAAGGTGGAGGAGAGATTACTAGATCGGAAACGCAGAGGTGGGTGAGAGAGAGAGAGAGAGAGAGAGAGAGAGAGAGAGAGAGAGAGAGATTATTAGTGATTGTTTCTGTTTGGACCAATGCTCTGGAGCATTGTTTACAATATTCAACTTCAAAAGCTCCTCCGATGATGATGTTGGACTTGTTAAAATGCACACTTTCCCCTGCCTATTTCACCTCTTCTCGCTTTTCGATTTGATAATAATGTTTTCAGCTTTCATTGTATTTTCTGGCAAACTTTGCCTTTTGCATGGTGAGTGTGACATCCGGCAATAACAATCAACAAGCACGACGAGTTGGGGCTGTGTTTTTGGGGGGTGAGGACATATTTATAATTTTACGTTGTAAATATAATTATTGATTAAAATAAATTAACACTTTTATGTGCACACCAAACACACTTTTAAACTGCATTTTCACTAAAAACAATTTCCTATATCAAATGAGGCATAAATTATAACCATTTTTTATTGTAGTCATCAAATATAAAATAATATCTACTTTTTATAAAATCTTTAAATTATTTAAAAATTATTTATTTTTAATTTTTAAACAAATGGGCTCTAAATGCGTATGGATAATTTTATTTTAAAGTAGTGTTCTTATCTGGATGGAATTATTTTTTAATATAAATTGCTAATCTCAACTTGGTAATTTGTATTGAAATTTTTCCTTCAGTTCTTACAAATCCTATTCATTTTAATAAATAAAAAAACCGTGAGACAACTTTTATTATTTAAGTGTAAAATTAATGCTCATGCAATGTAAACATGGGAGAATCTTTTGTTTTATTGCTTGGATATATTATTATAAAATTATGATTTTAACCTTTTCAATTGATTTATGATGTATCCAAACATGCACTAAATTTTTCTCAGCAGATTGGAATTCTATCAGCAGAAGAATACCATAGTTTATGGGATTTTATGGACTTGTTTTATTGAGTAGTCATGTACAATTGGCCTTCCTAATTAGAAAATTAAAGGTGTGAAGTTTAATCCACAATAAATGGATAACTATGAGTTAAAACATAGAATGCACCTGGAAAAGGTTCGTACTCGGTGTGTGAAAGGGTCATGATGATTGAACCAATTCTGTTGCAAACTGATTGAAGAACATAACTGAAATTTTCCCAGAGTCATCCATGAACGTGTATTGAAGTTTAAATCATGAGAGAGAGAGAGAGAGAGAAGAAAAGAATTGAGGATTAAGGAACAATGATTTATGCAATTAATCAATTTATATAAATGCCCACCCAAACACAACTAATCCAAAGGACCAGCATGATACAATGTTCTAAATTCTAATTATGGTTTAGTTGGGGGTAAAATTAATGTTACTCTGGCTCAGTTTCACAAACATAGTCTTTGCAACACTTAAAAAATTTGATCAGAGACAGTGTAAAATTCATAAGATGAACTTGAAGTGCAAGTGACATGATTTACGTTAAGAATTTCCACCACACAAATTCTCGTGTAAAGCTTTGGGACGCTGAAGATGTGTTACAGGACAGTGAAGGTGATGGTGAGCTTTTGTCACAAACCAGGCAACACGATCATTCTTTTGAAGGCAGATAGTATTGAAGCAACCAACTACAATCTCGTGAAAATTAAAACTTACCTTTCATATGATGATCAAATTATTCTGGAAACTATACTCCCAGTTTCTTCATCATCATTGATATATATATATATACATATTGAATATCAAACGAACTATAATACAAGAGTAAGTCAGATGAAATGCAGTTGGATTTGCTTTGTCTGCAACTGGTGAAGAAGGAAAAGTGAATGCTTGGTGAATATAAAGAGACAACGTAAAGGTAAACGTGAAATGTGTGTTCCTCAAGCTTTGATTGCCATCGTAATGGGAACGGATGTGATTCTATATATCTTGGAAGGAGGATCGTTTTGCCTTGAAGAAACTCTCAATCGGATATATTGAACGCCTATTTATAATTTACATTCACTTGATTCCTGCAATATTGAACGCCTATTTATTTTATTAATAATTTATAGGAAAATTGATAATAAAATTTTTTCAAATTATATAAATAATAATTTGATTCTTCAAAATATCATAATACTAATGAAATTTCTAAGGATCTCTTTATCAATAACTTTTTTTAAAAAAAATTATTTTATCTTTATTGAAAATAACAAAACTCAATTACAACTTTTTTTAAGGAATCATAACTTTTCTTTTGTAAATTGCAAGAGTTAAAAAAAAATTATAACTTATTGAATGTAATTTCTATTATTGAAAAATAAATCTCAATCATAATTTTTGTTTAAGGAATAAAAAATTTTATTTTGCGAATCACAAAAAATTAAATAAAAAATTATAATTTGTCATATATAATTTCTATTATTAAAAAATAAGTTCTCAAAATAACAAACTCTATTCACAACTTTTGTTTAAAGAATTAAGTTTTTTTTTTCAAAGAATCGCAAAAATTAAACAAGAAATAATAATTTATCAATATGGGTAAAATGATCTTTTCTTTCGAATTATATAAATGACAATTTGAGTTCTCAAAATATCATAATACCAATAAAGTCTCTCAAAATCTTTTTGTCAATAATTTTTTTAAAAAAGATTATTTTACCCTTACTGAAAATAACAAATTCAATTACAATTTTTGTCCAAGAAATCACAACTTTAGTTCTGTAAATCGTAAGAGTTGAACAAAAAATTACAACTTGTTAAATATAATTTCTATTATTAAAAAATAATCTCCAATTGCAATTTTTGTTTAAAAAATAATAACTTTTATTTTGTGAATCGTAAGAATTGAATAAAAAATATAATTTATCTTGTGTAATTTCTATTATTAAAGAATAAATTTTCAAAATAACAAATTCTATTCATAATTTTTGTTTAAAGAATCACAACGTTTTTTTCAAAGAATCCCAAAATTGAACAAGAAATCACAATTTGTCAATAAAGATAAAATAATCTTTTCCTTAAAAAAGTTATGAATAAAAAAATATTTAAAAACTTTATTGATATTATGATATTTTGAGAGATCAGATTGTCATTTACATTATTTAAAAATTTTTTATTATCATTTTTCTTAATTTATATAGATAAAATGCTAAATTAAAAAAAGTAGAAAAGGGCTCCAAGCCAAGCCTTATTTTGTAGGACTTTTAGACTTGAGTTTGTAAGTTTTGTTATTAATTTTTTTTAACTAAATTCTCCAGCTCAGCCCTACATAAGGTAGGAGAAAAATGGGTTTATTCAAATTTTTATTTCTAATTATGACTATTTTCTTATAATGTGATAAGTTAAAGTTTAAATATTTTCTTTAAAAGGTTCTCATATTTAATATAATATTTAATCCTACCTCAAATAAGATTCTCAAACTCTAAAGCAAAAAATTATACAAATCTTTGCAATTACAAGTGGTTGTATATTTTTACTTCCTTTGTTAAAAAATATAAAGTATTTTTGATAGAATCTCACTTTAATAAAGTAGTTATTTTTTTTAAACTAACTCTATCTTTTCATATTTATTCATATTTAATGTAGTATTTTATCTTAAAATAAATATAAAGTGATTTATTTAATAGGAACACTTTAAAAAAATAATGATTATATTTTAAAAGATTAAAAATATTTTATATTTTTAAATATTTAATTTTTAAAAAATATTTTATATTTTTAAATGGAGGAAGTATATATTAACATTTAAGTAGAAGATCAAGCTGCCAGGCCATTAAGATTGAAGTCATACTCAAAAAAATTGTACTTATATAACTAATCATTACTTTTCCTGCCAAGCATTGATATTCATTACATATTTTTATTAAGAATTTACTGCTTGTTCATAATCTATATAATTAGTCATTATTTTTTTTATTAAATATTAATATTAATTTTGTATTTTCATTAAAAATTTATTGCTACGGCTAAAAGAAGTTTTTCAATTTAAAATTACTTAAATTGTCTTTAAGATCAACTGTATTATAAAATAGATTAAATGAATTATTATATTATCTATTGAAAATTAAAATATTAAAATTAATTGATTACACAATTTTCATATAAGATTTTGCTATCAAAAAGCTAAAAAAAAAATAGAAGGATAAATAAATGACAATATATTAAGTCTCTTAAATAATTTTGTCTTAAGCTCAAAAACTACTTCACATGACTTGCAGAAGACTTTAATAGTTAGTCATATGTATTTAATATATTTTTATTTAGTCAAATCAAAATATGAGAATTTAAAAAAAAATTACATACTTAACTTTATATATTCAATGTGCTTTTTTTAATTAAATTAAAATGTGAATATTGTATATATTGTTTATTCTATAATAAGTTTTTATTATTAATATTATCAATATATTAAAATCTACTTATTATGATTTGGTTAGATGAAAGTATATTAAGTATATAATGCTAAATATACAAGTCTTGTCCAATTTAAAATTGCTAATAATAAAAATTTGTTATAGACTTATAATATACAAAATATATAAAAAAATTTATATGTTTTGGTTTTATTATTAGAAACAATTACTTTAAATATAATAAGTATACAAGTTCTTCCCCCCCCCCCCAACTATAAGTTTTTCTCTCATTATTTTAAGATTAGGAGATAAGAGATATAATAAATTCATTATAGATAATAAATAGAGATAAATGTATAGATGAATTAAAGCATTTAAAATCATTTAATTTACCCATGCGACTTATCTTATTTTCATTAACTTTAAAGAGACCAATAGATGACGTCGACCAACCGTTCTCTATAAAAATAGCTACAGCGTTCTTCTTCGATCTCTGACTCCACTTCCCAGCCCTCTTCAGTCTTCTTCGATTCTAACTCCTTTGCCATTGATTGTCAAACTCCGTCCCTAGCGTTTCTCTTTGTCGGGCTTCTTCTTCCCTTCCGACCTCTGAACTCCATTTTTAAGCATTGAATTTGTTTGTGTCCAGCGAAACCCAATTTTGATGATGAATAGCTCAGTTTTCTGTGGCGCCCCGCCGCCGAAGCAGAGCGACGAGATCGAGTGGGAGATGAGGCCTGGTGGAATGTTCGTTCAGAGACGTGATGTTGGTGTTGACGATGACCACTTTGGAGCTGCTTCTTCCTCTCGTGCTGGTCCCGTGATCAAGGTCAATGTCTGCTATGGTTCCTCTCAGCACGAGGTTTATCTCCCAGCTGAATCTACCTTCCGTAAGCATCTTCTCTTGTATTTACGATTCCTCTTAGATTGTGCGTGAATTTGAACCACGGGTTTCAATTGAACTTGCTTATTGGACTGGATTATAGTGATCAGTTCGGGGGCAGGTATGTGAAGCTTTTCTATGAAGTAGCATGCCACATTGTCGCATATTTTGTGTCTGAAGGGTTCGGAACCTCCAGAATCAGGATTGTTGTGCTTTATTGAATGTATGATGTCAATTATGTGCTGTAATCTATCTATTAAGAAGTTCCATTTATATATCGTTTAGAACACTGATTTTGCTGGCATAGAGATCGATATGACCTTTTGATAACTAAACTTATACTTGACTAAAATATTATATTTGCTTGAAAATACTGAAATTTGCTGGAAATTGATAATTTGAAGGGAAGAAAGGAAAGATTATGGCTTTCACATTATATAACATGAACATATGCACATGTTGGAGGATCTTTTTTAGGTCTTATTAAACACAGCCAATTGATGCCAGCTCTGGGATATTATTTACCGGCCAAAGTCTTGGGAGAAAAGGTATCAATCAAGAAGAAAATAAATGCAGTGATACTCATTTACTGGTCAACTCTGGAATACTAATTTCTTATTCAAATTGGATAAAATTTTATGTTGTGTGAAAATACTAAGACCGTGTTCTACCTGGACTAAAGCTGTAGTTTAGCCTGATCGTTTCATTCGCTTAGTTAAAATTGTTTGAGCATATTAAAGGTTCATCCTGCATCACAATATTGATTGTTTCTTCATCTGGATTTTGGAGTCTATTTGAGGAAACTGGAACATGTCATAGAAGAAGCTTGAAATTGAGCTATGAAATATTTTTATGTTCTTGTTGAGTTATTGCGATACCTATTTACGAGTCTTCAATGACAGTGGATGTCAAGAAACTACTAGCACGCAAAACAGGTTTAGAGCCTACGGAGCAACGACTGTTCTTCAGAGGAAAAGAAAAACAAAATGAAGAGCACTTACACTTGGGAGGTGTAAAGGACAAGTCTAAAATGTTGCTTTTGGAGGATGCTGCTAGCAAAGAGAGGAAACTTGAGGAAATGAGAAAACAAAGTGAGATGTTAAAAGCTTCTCAAGCAGTTGCTGGAGTCAGGGTAGAGGTGGACAAGCTTTCTGAGAGGGTGTGCCCTTGTTTCCAATATAGCTAGTTATTGAAAACTCATGTTATATAGAGAATGATCATTAGTTGTATTCCAAATTTGCAGGTGGCTGCCTTGGAAGTGGCTGTGAATGGGGGAACCAAGGTCTCAGAGAAAGAGTTTCTTATATCAACTGAATTGCTTATGAGGCAGTTGCTGAAACTGGATTCTATTGAAGCTGAAGGTGAAGCAAAGGTGCAGAGGAAAGCTGAGGTAGTATTTCCTATTATGAAGTTTTAACTATTTGTTCGTTATTGATGTCTTCTTATCCATGCAATCCTTTGTTTCTTATATGGTAATTTGAGTAATAAAGTTTAGTGGAATACTGTGCTATGATTTTTGTGAAGTGATTTGTGCTACAATGCATCTAAGTGTTACCTCTAAAGTTTGACTGATGTTACTTCTAAGTGTTACATCTAAGTGATTTGTGTTACTATGCATATAATTGTTACTTGAATGTGTTATTCAGATATGGAATATTAGATTTTCTCATCCTTATCTGCTGACTGCTGTCAATTTAGCTGCATAATTTGATGTTGAAGAAAATCTTTTTTTTTTTAATAAAAAAAATTTGAAACACTTTGAAGAGTGTTGAACTATTTATTGGTTGTGGAGGTTCACTTGAGCCTTGACATTCACAGGCTGCTTAGAAACATGAAGACTAGTGATTCAATTGGGGTGGACCAGTAACATTACATATATAGAGAAAGACTGCTTTGAGTAGGCAAGTCTGATGTAGTATGAGTAGATATATATCCTGTATGCACGGCCATGGGATAAAGGGATGCATTTTACTGTTAGAATATTGTAAATGGGTGTAGACTTCGTATTCTTCTGTTTGCCTATGTTCATTAATTAGTAATTACCTTCAATTCATTCGAAAGTGCATTTTCTTCCTAATGGATATGACAAATCCTATGTTGGTCCTTCATATATGAACCAATTTTCAAGTGGGTTCCTATAGACTTCTAATTTCATCTTGGTCCCAGATGATTTAAAATCCATCCAAACTAGTTTACTGGTTGTAAACAGTGCCTTGGCACCATCCAAATTGAGTGGGTCCGGATGGTATTGAACTGACTTGAAATTACAAAAATGTTTTGGTCACTAGATGCATCAACTAAGTTGGCGATTCACTAATATAGTGACTCATTTGAATGGATTTTGAACCGTGAGAGATCAAAATGAAATTTAAGGATCAACTTGGGAATTGGTTAATCTGTGTAGGACCCAAAATAGGGTTCAAGGAGCATGAGGATTACACTTATTGCCTTTTAAGGCCTGAACATCTGCTTTACAGTACAACCTTTCTTAGGTACGTAGGGTGCAGAACTTCGTTGATGCACTAGATTCTCTAAAGGAGAGAAACTCCAAGCCTTTTAGCAAGAATGGCAATGCAGTCTCAGTAACAACCAAATGGGAGAACTTTGGTTCTGGAATGGGAAGCTTGAAAGCCCCACCTCCAATGTCATCATCCTCAGGGCAAGGATCTCAAGATTTTGAGCAGTTTCATTAGTTCAGAAATTGCTCTCTCTGTTTCTTGAAAACTTTTGTGGAGAATTGAATTTTTGAGCATGTACAAAACCCTTTGATTCTTTATTCAGCTTTCAAATATTTTCTTTGAAGTTACACCTATTTCGTTTTTGGTTTTTGTCTTTAAAGTCAGGCAGTCTATAATTTATGTTTTTTGACTTGGTGCTACCGCCACGTTGTTTTATGCCAGGTATCAAAATGTGGAGCGGCCATTAAACTAGTCGAGGCAATAATTTAAAAGTCAGTGGTCTAATCAAGGATTAACTTGGTGTCACATATGTATATTTTAATTTAAAGATACACAAATATTCATATTTAACTATGAAAAAGAATAATATTCAAATAATGAAGTCATTAATTCTCAAGTAAATGAAAATTTTAACCATAAAATTGTATACATGTCTTGTACCGATATTAATTATAAGTTTCTAACAATAATGACATACAACAACATTAAGAATATTAAGAGATTTAGATTTGATTTATCATTCAATATTTAGAAGAGGAAAGCGAGGAAAAAAATTAATAAAAGTAACTCAGATTACCCATTAATCCCGTTTGAGTTGAATCCAGATTGACTAGTTCACAGCGTCCCCAATTCACCTCATCAACCAGACTGGCTTGATGACCAGTTCACCAGGTTACTGGTCTGGTATTTCATATCATGATTTTGTCAGTTTGAGTAATTGACTTTTGACATGTTTGCTTCAATCTATTTTCCGGGGGCGTACACTGCTTGTAAACAAGTTGCACCGCCCTCAAATTTTACATAACTATTATTATAATATCTAGCAAGAAAATATATAATTATAAATAGTAATATGAGAATGATGCTCAACCAGTCATCGTTGAAAGAATTTATATTTTTCGAAAATGAAATTGGATTTTGACTTATTCGAGCGAGGTAATTGAGTCATTAAAGAAGTTGAAATTATCGCAACAGTACACTTGTTTTCTTTCATTCACATAGCTAGTGCTTATTATTCTGAGAAGCTAAATCCCTGTTGCCTAAACCAAAGGGCATTGGTCAAAATAGTTGACTTTCATGGATCTGAAAAATATTTTTCGAAGTAAATCTTTAAACATAATTAATCAAATTGCTTCTAAATCCAGACATAAATAAATGAGATTTATCACTGTATTATCTGGATCATAAAAATCTCCTTCATCTAACATTGAAAGGTACATAATAAGACAATAAGTCTCTGCATTTGCCAGGAATATAGTTCCATTAAAGGCCCAAAAATAATTAAAGAGTGGATAGCTAAAAGTTGTTATAAAGATCACAATTAGATATTCTTTCACATATTATTGCAGAATTTAAGATTAATTGTATTGTTTATATTTCATTAGTATTGAGGTCTTGTAATAAATTTTATATTTTACGCTAATAATTCATATACATGAAAGCATATTAAATGTATATAAGTTTAGGTTTGGGGCAAGAGGTCACTTCAACCAAAATTTGATACATCTCTGAGACATTGGATAAAAAGTATAGTCGATAAATTAACTTTGGGTGTCATATATTTGAAGAACTGTGTTAAGACACAGGAATGCCAGTTTTTTCCCCCCATTCATAAAAATCAACTATATATAATATATTTATAGAAAATAATTAAAAAAAGTCTTAACATAAAAAACGAATGCTATGCATAAACATTCTTTTGCATCGCATTTTCTTTAAATATATATACTTGTATGACAGTAAGTAATTCAATTTATTTTCATTAGTTAATATATATTGCCTATAGCTAATTATGACAATATATATTACGAAATATGTCTTTGGTAGTTGTACTGGTGTGCAAAGTGCAATGTTTATAAGTTATGACAGTATCATATCAATTATTGATTATTATTTAGTATTTTATATTATTTATTTATGATTCCAAATTTAGCCTTTTGTTATGGTTGTCATTTACCATGAAAACAACAAACAACAGTGCAACAGACAGATCACACATTAATCTACACAAAAAACCAAAAAACAAAAAAAAAAAAATACTCCTGATCATATATATCATCAGAAACTTGCTATCTGTTCCCCCCACTACCTTCCTATCTGTTGCCCTCCACTTGATGTTATTATACATTTCACAATTGAAAATCTACAATGTTAATCCAAGCTTGCCACCATGTGAACTTCATCAAATAGCCTAAAATATTTGTTCTTGAAACTATTCATTTTATAACTAGTTTCTAGCACTGGCCCGCCGTCTATTGTAGATATCTACTTATAGGTTGTTTGTGTCAATAATTTATAATAAGTTGATTAAGTTCTTCAATTGACATTTATACTGAATGGCAATGGTGAATATGTGTGTGAATAAACATGTATAAATAGCACTAAGGATATTAATTCCCTTTTTTTTTTGGGAAAGGTTTCTTTAATTACACCAAGCAAAACATGTATAAGGAATAAAATGAAAAATGAAACGTGATTATCGATGGCAATATTTTAGGAACATGCTTAATTATCTGACATATAAAATTAAAATTTCATTAGTTTTTTATTAAATATTTGTAAAAAAAAATTTCCCCCTTTCACTTCCACATTTATTTTCTTTTTCATTACATTATTGAATCATGAGTTCAGATTACTGTTACATTATTTTCCAAATGAAATAGCTAGTATTAAAATCAACTAATTCTTAAGTTCACAAGACTCTAATACTATCTTGCTAATCATAATTCAATGTTAAATTATTTTCATTTAACATGATTCTATCATAATAGCCTGATCATAACTAACAAAGAAAATTCCTTATACGATACACACACATGAATATTAATTAGGAAGTTGTGAGAATTAGTAATGAGTTATTTTGGACGAGTACTTCAAGATCTCACTTAGAATTTGTCTTATTCATATAGTCAGATCCAGAGTACTGGCCATTTCCCTCCTTGCTTTCTCCTTGTTACAGTGTTCTCCTTCGTCGGACCATGAAATTTGAGAGTACAAAGACAGTGAGAGATTGCTATGATCAATTTCATCGTTCTCTTCCAAATGATTCCTTGCTTGATGATTCTTCTTTGCACTATCAACATCAACCCTGGAATTTAACTTCAGCGATAGATCCAAATCAAGGGGATGATCCATATGCTCACGATAAGCCTTTCGTTTCAGCGTCTTTGTTTGATCCTGATCCTTCATCATTGGAAGAAGAAGCTGTTCTCCTGCTCTTGTCGGTCCCATATGGTTCGCGGAGTTAAGATCAGTGATATTCTGCTGGCTCAAACTGGTTCGATTGTAGATGTGTTCATGGCCATCACCAAATGAGAGAACTTGATTTTCTTTTGGCTCATAGATTTTATTTGTTGATAACGATGATGATGATAAATTTGAAGGGTCCGCCTGGAAAATGCTGTGAAACCCAGACGACCTGGATTCATGATCTATCAGACTCCGACCCGTGAACGGGCTGTGAACCATTTTGTCATACACACCCAAGAAAGCATCCCCACATCCATATCTGTAAAGGGAAAGAAATCCTTTGAGATCGACTCATGAAAAATAGAAATATCGATTATATTTTACTTTTTAGATATCTCATATATACTCAAACTTTATATTAAACTTTGAGATAATTGTATATATAGTACCTCAAGGTTGAAGTTTGCCAGGGATTATAACCTTGAAGCATGGGAATTTGGCTGAGGTTGTAGATATTTCTGTCCCCACTTTCTACAAGGTGTCTATGATCAGCCAATACTGTCATCATGTAATGAGATCAAGTTATATTTTTATAAGAAGCTTGTATTAATAAAAAATTAACCCTAATCAAGTTATTATAACTGCAATTACAATTAATGAGAAAATATTCTCTTACCTTGGCTTGGATCGTCTACCTTCTTGCTCCTATACATCTAGCAAAAGAAAATATATAGATATGATCGAACATAATCTATGTGAAAATTATATGCATAAACAATCAACACTTACACAACATCATCTAAGGTTCAAGTACAGTTTGAGGTACAAAAATAACTTCACTTTTAGAGTATTAATAATTACTGCTTCAAAGAAAGGCCATATTCAAGAAATGAAACCATGGATACTTTTTTTCTTTACCTGTAAGTGGCTCTTAACATGCGCAATACTCAAGCCTTTGATGTTCATTAATTGGAGAACCAGCTTGGGTGTTGCTCCTACACCAACATATACAGATGAAGAAATATACATAAACAGAAATTAATTAATATGTGAATAAAAATTAGAAATTCATGAAGAAAATATGGTATTTGAACTTACTCTCCTCTCCCCCAAGCCTTTGAACGGCATGAACAAAGCGAAGATGAAGATCAGGAGTCCATCGAAGTCTTGGCATCTTGGATCTCACATAAGGCCTCACTGATGGCTTCTTCTCTGTCTCTTCGACCGTGCTATTGCTTGAGCTTCCTCCATTGTTGTTCATATTTTTCTTACCTTCTTCTTCTTCTTCTTCTCCTTCTTCTTCTTCGGTCTTGCTCTTGGTCTCCCACGCTTCTTCCAATTCGTTGCAATTATAAACAGAAGGGCTTGTTTTAGAGCATTCCGAGCCTTCGTTTCTTCCTTCCATGATCTCTAACTTCAACCAGAAACTTATTAATTCCTGCTATGCTTTTCTCAGATCGAATTCCATTTTCAATAATAGAATTAAACCTTCAAGACTAATTAAAAGAATAAGCAGATAGGGATTGAAGATCTTAACACGATGATTGGTCTACTATATCATCATCATCAGGAGAAAGAAAAAGAAAACCTTGGTTGATCTCTGCAATACCTACGAAGTTAATCAAAGTTATAGATATGATGAACAGTACTGAATGAACAGAAAAAACCCTAGGTATCTAGCTGATCGATCTTGACCTAGAAGCTATAATAACTTAGAAGACCTTCTCTCTCTTTTTCTGCGTGTAATTCTGGGAGAAAAGTAGATGAAGAAGAAATTGGGAGATGATATCATGAGCATATCTGTTGATGATGGAAATTATATATGTTTTAAATATGCATGGGTCATGGAATGCAAGGAATATACTCATATAAATTATATCATGTGACACCAAACTTTTTTGTTTCCAACTTGAAGAATAAGAAAAATATTTTAGGTTTATCAGTTGGACCTTGCATATTTTATATATGTAGTACAAAAAAATTAGCATTATTTTGAAGAAAGAACGACACACATAAATTAGATTCTTTATTGATAAGAATATAATTCAGCACAGTGAGTCATCTTATGAGAATAAAAATAGTTCAAAATTAGATCTCACTCCCTAAGAATACGGGGTTGTCTTATAAGTTAATCTATAGATTCTTTTTTATCAATTTAACTGTCTTGCATTCATAGACTCATCACTTTTTCACTATCAATTAATTAATGCACTTTCTCTAAATCACTAGAATTAATAGAGACTTACATGTAATGTAATACAGTAATAATACATTATCACAAATTTAATTTCCCAGATTTATCAATATGTACAAACCAACTCTATGCATCCTATAATTTGAAGGCTTGTTTGGAGGGGCGGAACCAGCCCTTAAGTTGTTTTGGGGGGGGGGATTTTTAAGAAAATAGATGTATATTTAATTTTATTAGTTAAAATATATTATTATATGATAATTATTAGAAAAAAATTACATAAATATTTCAAGAAAATTTTAAAAAAATACAAGATACCATATATCTAACATATTAATTTTAAGAAAAATTTAAATATAATATATAAAATGCTTATATCACAAATATCATATGTTTTCACTTGTCATTACATATTGATGTTTTTTAGAAAATTGGGATAGAAAATAATAAAATTTTATGAAAAAAAATTAATAAACCAATAAATGCATGAAAAAATTAAATTTTTTTATTGAAATATATTCTCTCTAGTTTTATTTATAATCCACTCTTAGTATTTTTACCAAAACCAAGAAAAACTTAAACTTCATTCATTTTGTCAAAAAATTTGACAAGTTTTTAACTTTATTCTCATTAAATGTACATACTTTAAAAATAAAATATGTATCATTTATAACACCCCCAACATTTAATAAAGAGAGAAAGATAAAAATAGATGTAATAATTATTGAAGTGTTTTATAAATAAGATCAGAATAAATATTTTTTCTCTATCGTATAAGTAGGACCAAAATAGTACAAATGAAAGAAATGTATGCATATTATATTATCTACACATTAAACTGAAAAGTATATTTGTATAAATAATTAACTAGAATGCAATAGTATACTTTATTTTAACCAAGAACTAAGATGCAGCGTGACTTTGTATTTTTTTTTTTTTTTTTTTTCCTGGTGGTGTTTGTAGTGTTAAGGGGTTGCCTGTTTGGATTAAAAAAAAAATTTGAATATACATCATTCAAAATTATTTATTTAAAATCAATGTTATGAAAATCAAATTATACTGGCCTGTTCTGCTAATTAGTTAACCGATAAATTGAATCTTGACTCATTAATCCATAGCACTGAAAGAGTAAAAATTGAACAAAATCCTTTTATATACCGTATAAAGAAGCCAATGATTATCATTATTAAATAACTGGCTCATCTCAAACAGCTCATCAATTGTATTATATATAAATATACAAAATACATATTTGTATGCACATATATCAAGGACTTATAGACTAATGGACAAAATGATTGGCTCCATAACACATTCATAATTTTTTTCAATATCATTCGATATTTGGTATTACTGACTAATCGGAATCTAAATCGAGTCAAATTTAATTGGAAGCAACCCCTTTCAATATGATTTTTTTTCTCAAAATTTTAAATCATGATTATTCTTAAGGAGTCCTGTTGGGAACTTATAGCTAGACATGCATTATATAAGTATAAATGAAGTTGAAGTTGTATTAAACTTTAATTTAGCTAGTCAACTTTAAAAATGGCCTGATTGTGCGTGGAGGGCATAAATGTATGAAAAAAAAGGAGTAAAGGAAAGGAGATGGAAGTGGTTAGCAATGAAGTGTGTGATGCCTTGCTGTCTGTGATTCAGACCCAAAAGCCAAAAAGATAAATAACTCATCATTTCACGGGCTTTGTTCCCCCTCCACCCCCCAACACCACCCCCCAAAAAAAAAACTCTTCCCAAATTTAATATTATTTTGATTATTTCATTGAGGGATTAGGTATTTTTATCTCAAATATTTCCTTTAATGTATTGTCTGCCTTTAATTTTATTTGTCAAGTCAATATTAATAGAATTTTCCTTCATTGATTTAAAGGTTCATTCATTTAGTTAATTAAATCCTGCGGCATTTCTTTGTTTTTAATTCCTTTTTTTGGTTAATTATGATGATTAATTAAGAGATATACCATATCTGCTAATTTTAGTGGTGTACTCCTGAACTTAATTGGACACTAATAAGCTTGATTAATTGCAGCTGGTGGGTATTAAGTTTTATTTTATATTAAGAATAAGTAATTTAAAAACTGACCAACATTAAGTTTATAACGTAGTGTTAAAAACAGGTTAAACCAACTAGGCTTTTTTTTTTGGGGGTCTGACCTGACTAGCTGAATTAGTGTCTTAGTTGATTCAATAAAATAATTTGTTCATAATTGATTTATTCATAATTCAATTACAGTTTTCACCATTAATTTTGAATCAGTTTAATAACTAGTTTATTTTTTAGTATTTTGGTTTATATTTAAAAATAATTAAAGATTCTTTGATGAATATAGGAAATTAAGAAAATATAGCCAAAATATTTTTTGAACCACGACTAATATTCAACAATGCAAAAAAAGAATTAAATGGTGAGTGGTTGGTGGGGAGAAAGCAAAGCATTATGGTTTAGAGTTTGGTTGGAGGATAAGAAGCTTTTTGATTCCACGCACGTGCATGAGCGTGTGTGTGGGCATGCATGTGTATGCAAATGCATGCATGGACCGTGACTCGAATCATCAAAATGAAAGTTAAAGCAAACCATAAAGACAAATCTCTTTCTTTATTCACAAGTTCCTTGACTATTCTACTTCCCTTTTTGTTAACTTTTTTTTCTTTTGCCAAAAATAATTCCACTTTCTTCAAATATTCCATCGTTTCTTAGCTCTTTTTTTATGCTTTGGGTACATAAAATTGAAGTTCTTTGAAAAATGAAAATGTTAGGAAAAAATGCTTTTGTTGTGTTTGGTATATGTTATAACGTGACCTTGTTATAATTTCCATATTTATCGAAGAAAATTAAAGCTTTTCATTCCCGTTTCCTTTCTTTCCCTTTTCTCGTCATTTTAAACCAAACAGAAACGATCTCTTTGGTCCTTCTTATAACCTGTCTCTCAATTTGATTATTCCATTAACTTCTTTTGCTACATAAAAATTAATTTGTTTCAATGAATTGGGTTTTGTATAGCGTACATACAAGGACTAAAACAAGGAAAATGTTGACACTTTGAGATCTTGCAAGAAAAATAATGTGTTAGGATTATATCTAAATGTAAGTAGATTTGAGTTGACATGATATATAAGTTTCACTTTAGATAAAGTTAAATTTAATAAATAATATATAATAAAATGAAAATATATATAAACTTTAGTCTTGAAGTTTTGAATTAAGGTATGTGATGCCATTCACTCCTTCTGCCACTCATTGCTCATTTGTGGTAATAGAGTCAGATTTCCCTTAGGATCTAAAAATTTATATTATGCATACATTTGAATCTCAAAATGAGACTGGTCTTGGTTGAAGTCACATGGACTTGTGTATGCACCACCTCGTTTGAAAATTAAAAACATCCGCTTGAAAGTGGGTGATGAATTTCACTTGAAAAAAACTTAAGCGTCGTTTGGTTATTAAAAAGGAAAGAAATATAATATATTTAATAAATAAATATAAAAATAGAATGATTGAGATGTGGGTAGAGATAAATCAACCACGTTCTTGAGGAGGAAGGGTAATTCAATTCGTGATCATAAGTTAGGCATATTTACAAGATTTGAAAAAAGTGTGATGATTCTTACCTTTATAGTATGGTGTATTGAGTTTTATTATTGAAAGATGATAATTTAATTCATTTTTGTTGTTAATTATGTTTTAAAAAAAATACAATCATCAGTTCATATAGGTTTGTTGGGTTTTGCTTTTAGTCTCTATAATTTTTTAGTGTTTTTAGTCTATGTAGTTTCAGCAAGATTGAGAAATGTTTGTTACTCAAATCCTTATAGTTTTAATGCTTTTAGTTCCTATAAAAACTGAAAAATATTGAAAAAAATCAAGAGACTAAAAGCAAATTTCGATAAATGACAAGTATCAATGGTTATGTTCTCCCTTATGTTTTTATTCATTCCATTTTTATTCTTTCCAATAACTAAATGACTCCATAATTTTGATGGAAAGCCACAAAAGTTAACTTGAAGCAATTCTTAACTGTAATTAATTAGTCTTTTTGTTTGTATACAAGGTGTCTGAGTTTGCAAAGATATATACAAATTATATACATATATATACTAATAAAATTTTTATACTGGAAATAAAATTTGAGTCCAGTGTCATGATTGCATAAGATTTAATTCAAAATAAAAAAAAACTAGAGGGCTAGCAGATTAATTTTCTCATCATCATCATCATTATTTGATCGTAGTGTGCCAAACTTTATATTGTAATGGATTAATAATTTGCGAGGGAAGGAAAGATTCACCACAGCAAGTGTGGACAGTAGACAACTAAGGTCAACGCTAAACAGTGATATAATGGATCGATTTTCTTGAAATCTATAATTTTCAATTCTGACCACACAATCACTTATCCAACTTGCGTTACAGTGTGGCCCTATTAATGCGGATCAAACATCCTTATTCTTGTTTTACAATATTGAGCATGTCTGTCTTTATATGTGTGGGTTATTATCATAAATTAGAGCATTACAATTAAAAATTATTATCATTTACATAAATCTGGATCCGTATATATACTTTA